GTGGGCTGGAGGCAGCGTGATGCTCACCGTTACGTCTTTAATGGCTCCCGCCGCCACGCTCGGCCTCCTCTCTGCTCTCCTCTTCATGGTCACATCCTCCACTCGGCCTCTCAGGGGGCGAGGGGGGGTTGCTCATTCAGGGGAGGGCTGCAAGTGAAGCCTGGTAATCCTCTCCAGGCTCCGTGGCGTCCTTCTGCTCAGTGTTTCCTGTTCTGGCTTTTATCTGCTAAATATGCCAAAGAAAAGGAAAAAAATGTGCTGTAAACACACCTCTTTTGCAGGGTCAAACACCACAGCGGATTTCATGACCCCAGCAAACAGAAACCATTTGGATCTTGACTTTGTCCATCTTGCAGTAGCTCGTTGATCTTGAAAATCTTGCGCCGCTTGCCTTTAGAGCCCCTTTCCTGCCATTAGCCAAACTGACAGATTTGTATTGTGGAGTTATTGAAAACTCCAAAATGTTTAAGTCCCAGAAGTCCAATTGGGTGAGGGTATTTCTGCAGCGTGCTTTGGACGCCGCAGCCATCCCGCTCCCAGTGGGAGCCTCAGCCAGCTGGTGTCCGAGGCCTCGGGGCTGTCATCTCTGACACAGAGGCGGGAGTCAGTCAGTGAGGCCTGTGAGTCACTGAACTCCTCCTCCCCGTTGTCTTCCAGTCAGTCTGCGACGTGTCACTGGAAGCCCCAGACCCCCCCCCCCCCCCATGTGATACTGAGGGCCCTTTTTGATGCCTCAACAGTAAGTAAACAAAGCTGCCTCAGCGGTTCTGTGCGCGGCTTCAGCAGCTCAGGAGGAATTTCATCCTGAGGGGAGAGCCGAGGCCACGTTTTTACTTCAGATGGAACGACTTCTGCTGTTTACAGACGCCGGCACCGAGGCCGGCCGAGGAGTGGGAGCTGATTCTGCTGCTCTGTTCAAAGGCCTCACAATAGACTCCCGAAGGCAACGTGGCTCTCTGTTATCTTACAGGACGGAAGGAGGTCATTTCAAGCCTGTAAGCCAAAAGAATTCATTTTAACTAACAGAAACTCGTAGAAGATGGATTTACTTTGCTATGTAGACATTATTTTGGACAACGCGCTGGCCTCATCCGCTCCAGTACCGGTAGTCAGTCCAAAACAAGTCTGACCTCCATAAAGACACAAAGCTGAGAGTGCAGAAAAGACCTGCAGATTTTCTGGCTGAGACTGAAAAGGGGCAAAAAATTGCAGGACACGTGGCCATGTCAGATCACCTGTGCAGGGTTTTAAATGCCGTGGAATAAATCAGTCAGAGTGGGTCAGACTACTTCATTACAGGTGATGTGAGGAGCTCTGACCAATCAGGAGGAGGCCAAAAACCATCTAACTTCCTGGGTACAGTTCTTACTTTAGGTCCTGTTTGTGATTGTTGATTTGACAAAAAAAAAGCATTCATTTAAGTTTCTGAGTGTATATTCTTTGGTGGCGATGAACTGAATGTGATTTCCTCTAAACTAGAGTAAAATGGCTTCGGAGAGCCTGCATCAGCAGTTTTCCCACTTTTTTTTCACCCCTCTCTCTCTCTGTGGCTTTAATCCTGATAGTCGTAGCTGCATGTGTGTGTGTTCATGCGGAAGAAGTCGCTCTGATGATCACCTCTTGATTATCACGGGGAAAAGAGGAGGGAGATTTTCATCAATTTTGCCTGATTGTTTGCCTCCTTTTCCTCCCATAAACGAGCTCTGCTTTCAGTTACTTTGCATTTAAGTTGAGTCTTAGCAGGAGACGGTAGAGGAAAGCATCTATTCTAATATTTTCCTGCTTTGAGCCGATCTCAAACCTGAGCAGGTTTAATAAATGTGATGCCAAGCCAAACAGGCGCAGAGAGGTGGAAGGAGCTGCTATCGTGTCTGTGTTTAAAATCAGCCAGAGGAATTTTTTTTAGAAACGGTGCAACAGAGTGTTTTTTCCACTCAGGCCGGAGACGCTGCTGGAATTTTTTTTTTTTTTTTAAAAGACGGAACTAAGCTTTTATTACTGTCCTCGCAGAGGAGTGTTTCAGGAAGACGACTGAGGAGCATGATGTAATCACCACACATCATCACAGGGAGGCGAGGAGTGAAAGCTGACACAGGAATGTCTCACAAATCAGATGGCAAACAGTTTCATCTCTCTGATGCCTCCGGCTTCAGTCAAAAACTAAAGTAAAATACAAAAGATTTTGGTAAATGAATGCGATCTGTGCAGCTGAGTGGAGTAAACTGACCCCTCTGTTGCTGTTCTCTAACCAGCAGCTTGCTTTCTGAACAAATGTCTGCCTCATTCGTGTTGTTTGATGTCTCTCCTGAGCAGAGAAGAAGCTGTAAGAAGGTTATTCTGTTTTAGGACGGTCTATTTTCTTTAGGTTTTAAAAGTGAAGGGATGAGGGTGTTGGATGTAGAAGATTCCTCTGTTGTTGCCAGGGAGGTGTTCGCCGCCTGAAGGATTCACACATGCATGAATGAGGCGTTTGCATTAGAATGAAGCCGCAGTGCACAATAGGAAAACGTTTCTGGGGTTTCAATCCGTGCACTGATGTGTGAGGCAGGAGTCGCTGTCATAGGGCTCCATTGGGCGTCTAAAAAGCCTTTCCTTCCTTCCCTTTCTCCCTCCTCAGTCTCTAAGAAGCACGGGAAACTCATCACCTTCTTGCGCTCCTTCATGAAGTCCAGGCCCACCAAGCAGAAGCTGAAGCAGAGGGGCATCCTCCGGGAGAGGGTGTTTGGCTGCGATCTGGGAGAACACCTCCTCAACTCAGGACACGATGGTGAGTCCGTCTGCATTATCGCCGCTCTGTCCCGCTCTGCCTCCCATTCATCCAGCAGAAACCGAGCAGGTAGTAGAACGATCATATCACACCAGACTAAAAGCAAAGAAGACTTAAGTAAAAAGTCTCAGGAGCTCTTTGACGGAGCCTTATTGCTGGCGGGAGTGGCTCCTTTTTCTTTCAGAATGGCCGCCGCGGCCGTCGTTCGCAGAACCTGGCTCTGATTGGCTGTAGAGGGTAAAGAAGCTGAAAAGCAGCAGATTTTTTGTGAGCCGTTTAGTCTGCTCAGATATTAGCAATGTCTGGAGACTGAGCCAGGTCGGCCTATTCCCTGCTTTCTTTTTAGGCTTTTTCTTTTATTAGATTTCCAAAAACGCTGCTCTGGCTGGCAGCGTGGACATAGACGCCTTCTTCTTTATACTGTGTCTGTCTGGCTGTAACTGATGGGATCGCTCACTCAGTGGAATTATATTCATATCACTAATGTGAGGCTACACCCAGTGACTTTCAGCTTAGTGTTAAGACAGGAAGCTGGAGATAATGGCTGTTAAAGAGGATACAGATCTGCTTTCTGTGCTAATGGTTTTCTGTAAACCACGTGCTGCACGTGCTCACATGCTGGAGCGGCTCTTTCTGCTTGTAATTAAGATGTGTGCTGCACTAAAGTGCATTTGCGCGTTAATCTGAGCTCTCGGCAGCCGGGTGGGCGGCAGGTGAGCTGGTTTCAGTGACGGCAGGGGGGAGCGGAGTCCCATTAGGCTGCTGTTAGCTTTAAATGTCATTAGTTGGTGTTGGTGGATCATATTCCATCTGAATCAGGTCCAGATCAGTGCTGGCTGACCTCTGACCTTTGTAAATACCAGCTTTCTTTGTCACAGTGCTCAGGTTTCACAAATGAAGATCAGAGACGTTTTTTTTTTTAATAAGTTATGTTATTTTTCTGCTTCGTGTGTAGAAATATTTGATATTTGAATGTTTAAAAGTTGTTACCTTCTTCCACACAGGTGACAATTACCTGAAAACTGGTCAGCATTCAGCACACTTAGATGTCAGAGCCAAACATCAGATTTCCATTTCGAGGGGATAGTTTTCTTTGTCTAGGTGTTTCTGGACCTCAGCAGATGATTTCACTTTGTCTTAAGTTATCCTGACCTCCAATTTAAAGACAGATTGGATTTGTTTGGAGCTGCTTGAGAAGACCGGCCATGTTTTCTCTGTTTTCTCTCTGGCTTTGTGAGGAATTTGTCAGAACAGCTGCCCCAGTGGATGTCCCACTCACTGTCATCCTCTGAGTGATGTGTGATGGTGGGAGGCCTGGGAACTTCCTTCTCCGTACACACACTGACCTCGTATCCCGTATCGCTCCCTCGTTCATGGCGGCTTAAGAATGAAGAGAGCTCTGTGTTTTTAGGTTTTCCTTTTTTTTAACACACGGTCACAGTCTTGTCAGCGATAAACTCATTCAGACAAAGATCTCTCAGTTTGATTTTAAAAAAGTCTTTTCCATTGTTGGTTACTCGTTCGTTACTCCTTTGGAGGCCTGTTCATGTTATGAATCAGACAAATGTTGATCCACAGGGATGACAGGCTGTTTTTCTTCTGTTTGCAGTGCCCCAGGTCCTCAAGAGCTGCACAGAGTTCATCGAGAAGCATGGCGTGGTGGACGGCATTTACCGCCTCTCTGGGATCGCCTCGAATATCCAGAAACTGCGGTAAGGAAACGCAGGCTGACAAAAGCTCCGTGTCGCACATTTAATCCAGATGTGGCCTTCATCCAGAAGATGACAGCATGTGAATTCCTGCAGCAGAGCTGCATCTGTGGAAGACAATAACGCAAAGTAACAACAGGTGTTCTTTGTAGGGGAGATTTAAAAGCTGTCACACTTTGGTAATCAGGTCCTCAGATGTTCCTGTTTAGGAAAGTCTTTTCTTTTTATTTATTTATTTTTGGGATGTGTTGCTCTGCTGCTGTAATGTCCCGAAAAGTTCCCCAACTTAAGCGGCATTTTGATATGATTAGAAAGTTTCAGCTTGTTGCTGCCTTGTTTCATGTTGGTTAGACTGCGTCATCTTTGTTGTTTCAGACAAGCATCTTTGTGACTTGCTACCTGAAGATCCCCTTTTAATTAGTTTGATTGCATAAACAAAACACTGGTTTGTCATTCTATGACTGAGTGGTTCATGATCAGGGTTGAGTGTCAAGAAACTACTGACCCCAAACGCACATTAATCTGTTTATTTACAGGGATTTGATGATCTTCTATCTTTTTTTGGGACATTTTCAAAGAAAAACATTTTCCCTTTATTAGGGCCCACATGCACTACGACTCGCATCATGCCCTGGATCCATCTGTCCATTAAAAAGCTCACATTTACTCCTAAGTGCACGTTTTGGAGTTTGATTGACCGGCTACCTCTCTTTCCTCCACCAGGCATGAGTTTGATTCGGAGCAGATCCCCGACCTGACCAAAGATGTTTACATCCAGGACATCCACTGCGTTGGCTCGCTCTGTAAGCTCTACTTCAGAGAGCTGCCAAACCCCCTGCTCACCTACCAGCTCTACGAGAAATTTTCTGTAAGAAAAAACCTGCCACGACTCCAGCACTCTGCACCCTCACAGCAACGCTTCAAGCATAAACAATAATTTTCGCTGAGTCTGAGACTCCTGACTATTTAGTTAGTAAAATAAGAAACAAAGTTAACCCGACTTTGTCTTTGAGGAACAATTTAAATCAATCTTCAACCATAAATCACAGACACCCCTGAAATAATTGTGTTGTACTCGACACACCCCGTCATTCCAAATACAGCAAAACCTCATGTGTGAGTTGGAAAAGAAAGCTTCTCCAAGCCATCGCTGAGCAAGAAGTAAATGTTTTCAGGTTGTTATGGCAGCGGGGAAGGGGGGGGGGGCTTTACGACTTCAAATTGATGTCCTTTCTGTGCACCACGTAGCAGTGTGCACCAACACTATCACAGCAGAGTTTAACGCTGGCTCACTGTGTTTTCTCTGTGAAGGATGCCGTCTCAGCGGCAACGGATGAAGAACGGCTCATCAAAATCCATGACGTCATCCAGCAGCTTCCCCCGCCGCATTACAGGTCAGCGTGGGGGCACGCTGCCCCCTGTAGGCAGCTCCCTGAACACTCCGCTTGTGTTAAAATCAATGCTCTGGTGGGACGACGCCAGGGACACATCTGTTGGTTTTAATAACGTTTGGGGCTTAGCCCTAGTCAGCTCTAGGGCAAGTCACATAACAAATTTAAAGGTAATAGGAAAAAAACATGTTTTTGTTCCTTTAAACCCCTCAAACCTACACGGGGCATGGGGAAAGCTTCTGTGAGAAGCCCCACACCCGCAAAATGTTTGATCAAAGCTGCTAATTCTGCTTTATCACATAAGTGAAAGACATGGAAGTCAGTCCCTGTCAAGCTGAGACACTAAACTGGAGCAGATCTCTAAGTAATTTGGATGCTTTTGGTATATAATGGACACTTTGAGGTCACAAACATCCATATTAAACCCCCGTGTGGTCTGTGACTCCTTTTTGAGACCATATCTTCTGCCTCTGATCATTTTAAAGCTGGATTTAAATGTTACGTTAGTCTTCAGAAAGGAGATCAACAAATGGAGCAGTTTTGTCATTTCTGGCACAATAAACTCACTCTTGCTCACCCTCAGAGATTTTTTACGTTTGCTTCAACAATTAGAAAAACCTTAAGAATTTTGACTTTTTTCCTCTTGTAACTGAGATACTGAACTTGGGGAGTAGAGCAAGTGTTTGTCTTCATCCTGTGTGTGAGCCAATTAAAACTTTGGAAACATTTCTTTTTTACTCTTTATTCCTAGAACCTTGGAGTTCCTCATGAGACATCTTTCCCGCCTGGCAGCGTTCAGCTACATCACCAATATGCACAGTAAGAACCTGGCCATCGTTTGGGCGCCCAACCTGCTGAGGTGAGATGTGCTTTTTATGTTTTGAGAGTCCCTGTGAGGCTTGGTTTTAAGATACGATGGAGCTTGATCATTCAGAGCTTTATAAGTGGAGCAGAACTTTAAATTTTACTCTGAATTTATCAGCTAGAATAATAGATATGACCTCTGCTTTTGGCTCTCATCAGAATCTGCTGAAGGCTTTTCAGAGCCCGTTAATAGAGGTTTACAGTAAACAGTCTCCTCCTCCCTCTCTTTTGCCTGCTGTTGTTTCAGGTCCAAACAGATTGAGTCAGCCTGTTTCAGCGGCACAGCCGCCTTCATGGAAGTGCGAATCCAGTCTGTCGTGGTGGAGTTCATCCTCAACCACGTGGACGTGCTCTTCAGCTCAAAACTCAGCTCGCTGATTCGAGAAGGAGCAGGTACCCGCCGGCGTTGGCACGCTGTTAGCTGCACGCGCGTTCTGTCATTAACAGCCGTCCTGCCACATCCCCAGGTCACAACTCCTTGTCTCGGCCAAAGTCCCTGCTGGTTTCATCGCCCTCCACTAAACTTCTGACCCTGGAGGAAGCCCAGGCCCGGACCCAGGCTCAGATAAACTCTCCTGTCACTGAAGACAGCAAATATATCGAGGTGGGCGAGGGTCCGGCCGCCCTGCAGGGCAAGTTTCACACAGTCATCGAGTTTCCCACCGAGAGGTTTGTACGCTCCTCTTACTTCTTTATCTGTCTTTGTGCTCCTATTTCTAAAGTTCACCTCAGAGGCGTTTAGCCCACTGAGTAATGCTGCCGTCTGAATTATTACCCAGAGGTTATTTATACATAAAGTCCTGGATTCTGTCTCCCTCTGCTGGTGCTGTAGTTTTCCTCATGCTTTACTCCAACTCACATGCAGAGTTTACAAATGGCCCAGAAACCGAATCACTGCTTATTTTCTCCCTCCTGTGATATTTGGGATTTCTGTGATTGGTTGCAATAATCGCCTATATTTATTCCCAGGAAAAGACCTCCAAATAAATCCAAGAAGTCTCCGGTGGGCAGTTGGCGCTCCTTCTTCAATCTGGGCAAGTCGTCCTCCATGTCCAAACGCAAGCTGCATCGCAACCCCAGTGAGCCCAACGAGCTGAAGTCCATGGCCCTGCCCGGTGAGTCCGCGCCCCCACAGCCAGCCCTCTGAGTCCAGAAGACCAGACTCATGTGTCTGTTGTCGTTTCAGGAGGCCGAGGGGACACGGCCACGTTGAGGTCAGCCAAAAGCGAGGAGTCACTGAGCTCCCTGCACAACGTGGAAGGTAATTATTATTTGCCCTCCACTTTGCTCTGACTCAGCATAACGTGGCTGACTGTGTCAGCGGGGCCCTGTTGGACTGTTAAATGGAGAATGTTATTTATGTTTAGGCTCTTTTCCTCCTTTAGGAGAGTCCAAGGTGTACCGTCCTCGCCGGCCGCGCTCCAGCAGCGACGCCCTGTCGGCGTCCTTCAACGGCGAGCTGCTGGACAGCCGGCAGCACTGCAACTCCTACGATAACCTGGACGCCACCGAGGACAGCGACGGGGATGACGGGCCCATCTGCGTGCCCGCCCTCATCTCACCTCCCCGCTCAGCGGGGGAAGATGTGGACCTCAGCCCGCCAGACATCGGCATGGCTTCCTTAGACTTTGACCCCATGTCTTTCCAGTGCAGTGTCCCCGACACCTCCTACGCCTTCCCCTTGGATGACTCGCCAGCTGGGGCGGAGGGCTCCACGTTAAAGAGGAGCCCTGCCACCATCTGTAGCAAAGCCAAGGGCTCTGACCTCATCTCTGCCTCCTTCCTCGGCGGCTTGTCCACTCCCTTGCTGTCCACAGACTGCAGCCTGTCAGAGGGGGAGAGGGCGGACAGCAAGAAACTGACCGCTTCCTTCTCGTACACTGATAAACCCACACAGGCCGTCTCGCCCATCAAATGTGCAAAGACCACCACTTTGGCGTCATTTGCCACCTCAGAGCTTTTCTCCGCGGAGACACTTGACAGAAACGCAGCTGGACAGGCCGTCTCCTCGCAGCCTCTGTCTCCTCCTCCGAGAGCCAGGGACTCCCCGCCCCTGATGGGCAGTGTGCTGCTGCGGGCAGCCGAGCCCTCCCTGACTGAAGCCTTTCAGATGGAGCTGCACTCTAAACTGGCGGCCTTCGACCTCGCGAACAGTCGAGACGTGAGCGGGGAGGACAGCGTGCAGCAGGTTCCAGCCACCAGCCGCCACGATCACGGAGGTAGGAACCAAAGCAGCCCCCCCCCCCCCGACTGCAGCTCGGCAGGCCCAGGGCCTCCCGCTTTTGTGTGTGTTTGGTAGATTCAAATGTGTTGATTTGAATCTTTTTCAGGTTTCAACTTGAATAAGTCTTATCTTGTCTTGCCAAAGCATCATACCTAACTTTTCCCCTTTGACTCTCTTTAAGCACCTCAAAGCTCTCCCCGCTCCTCACTTCCTGCTCTCTCTCTTACTGGTTGTTCAGTTGCACTTCCCTCATGTTTTTCTCTGTTCCTGATAGGAGTCATAACTCCAGACTCTGCAAAGGACCTCTCCCCTCGTTCCCTCAGCTCTGCAGCTCCTACGTCTGCCCCCCCTCCCCCTCCACCTCCTAAGAATGCTGCCTGCATGCTGGCCCTGGCCCTGGCTGAGTCGGCCCAGCAGGTGTCGTCTCAGTCTGCTCAGACCCCCACACTGGTGTCCCCCTCCAGCCTTCGGGAACAGGCACCTGTGCACATCCCACATTTCCAGCGTGCCTCTGAGGAAGGGAGAAGTTGTTCCTCACCCCCGAACACCACCACCACCACAGCCGTAGCCTCATGCTATCCACCCAGCTCCGGTCCTCCAGTCAAACCAGAGCAGCCAGGGTTAACCAGCAGGATCCCCGAGCCCCCGGACAGCGCCGCCTCCCCCACAGCGCCGCCTCAGACTCAGCCCGAAGCAGAGTCCACCCCTCCAAACACTCCACTTTACAAGTGCTCCCCACTTTCCAGCTCAGCCAACCCGACTTCTCCAACGAGGAAAAGTCCAGAGAGGAAGCAGCAGGTTCCAGTTCACAGCAGCTCACCCAGCAGCCCCCCAGCATCCACCCCCAGCAGCTGGAAAGAGAGCAAAGCCCCGACACAGACGGGCGCAGAGGTAAAAACCACCTGTATTTATGGTGATTGGTACATTTTTAGGTCAAAATACATTTACATTTAGCTGGTTCAGCTGGTTTTAAGTCCGTCAATTTAAAAGTCTGTCGTCATTTTTCTGTAACATTGATTTTTTAAAGAAAAAAGCTTTTCTAAAACCTTTCATTTCCTAAACAGAGATATTTGTTCCAAATTGTAACGTGCACCAGCTTTTGTCTCAGCATTTAGGGTTGTGACGTTTCTCCTAAGGTGTGTTTTTGTGCGTTTTCCTCACCAGGTCAAAGGAGAGGACGCTGCACCATCCCCACTGACTCCCAAACCGTCTGAACAGCCACTTCCAACAGCTCAGAAAGCCAAAAAGACGGCGGTCTCGCTGCCCCAGCACCAGGCGGCGGCTCAGCAGCCCACCCCGGCTCCTCTGTCGGCACAGCCGCCCACACAGATCCATTCACAGCCACACCTCTCAAAGGCCAGCGCCCGAGTGGCCCCCACCTCCGCCGAACCCTCGGAGAAGCCCTGGGAGGCCATCAAACCCGTACAGCCCTGTACAGACTCCGAAAAACACAATGACTGCCATGGGCCCAAACCTCCAGCTCCTCCCGTCCGCACCATGGAGAGCAAGCTGGCCACAGCCGCTCTCAGCCAAAGCGAGGCTTCCTACCACCTCTTCGATCAGGGCTCTTCGGCGGCCACGCTGGGGGACGCTCAGCAACCCCACCCGCATTCTCCTCGTAGGTCTTCCACCCACCAGCTGGCCTACCTTTACCACGCTAAAGGGGAGCCGGTGCTGATTGAGCCTCCGGGAGCAGCCTATTACCACCAGAGGCCCGTTCCTCTGGGGCCGCCGTCCATTCCCCACCACTACAGAGCGGACGGCGCCGCCCCGCACTCGTACGCGTCAAAGTCGGAGCCTCAGATCCCCTACAGCACTAGAGTTGAGAACAGATACAGCACTTTAGGGCCCAGGTCCTACCACCACTCCATGAAGCTGAGGGGAAACCCCCGGGGCGTGTACGTGTCTCCGGGGCCGGGCCATCAGGGCTACAGCCACGACCGAGCCCACGGCTACCCCACCATCCGCAGGGTGCACTCCCTCCACGTCCCCTCCACCATCCGCTCCGTCCCCATCCAGAGGACCGAGGTCCCCCCGGACGACGACATGTACTTCTACCACCGGCCGGTCTACACCTGTAAGTCCTACCAGCAGCCGCCCCAGCAGGCCTCGCAGACCGACTACCACGTCACCCAGCTGCAGCCTTACTTTGAGAACGGACGGGTCCAGTACCGCTACAGCCCCTACTCGGGCTCCGGCCCCCTGGAGTCGCCTTACTATGACATAGACCCTTACGGCACCGTCCGAGTCAGGCACTTCCACTCCTACGGAGGCCGAGAAGCCGCGGCGGCCGCGGCGGCTTCTGCTGCTGCTGCCGGCCGACCGGGCGGCAAGGCGACCGGGTACCACTACCTGGCCCGCCACGTCCTGCCTCCAGGCAAGGAGCACAGCTTCGTGAGCAGGGACATGCCCCCGGGTCACGGCAGCAAGGAGGCCGCCGCCTACCTGGCGTGGGACGCAGAGGAGGCCGAGCGGCTCCGCATGCACTCCATCCGCCGGGAGAGCAGGGCCCGGATGAAGGTCAAGGGCCCTGTCCTGTCTCAGTACGACAACGTGGGCCTGTTCACACCAGCCGACATGTCGGGCTACGAGACGCTGCACCTGCGGAGCAAGTCCGACCCGGGGAAGGCCGTGCTGTTGGCCGCCGAGAGCAAGGACGGCCGCTACCTCCCCAGACACATGCTGTCCGACCCCGACGTCCTCCTGTACATGGAGACGGACAAGCACGGCCACGACGGCGGGCCGGGCGACCGGTCGGAGGCGCTGTCCAAGCAGGGCGCGTCCAAGAAGGGCCAGTCCTCCCACTGCCCCCCCGCCGCTGCCAGCCACGGTCTGTCCCACCAGCAGGACGGAGAGGACGGGGGCAGGCCCAAGAGGCAGGACTACGCCGGCAAGAGGAGCGGCCAGCTGCGGTACGAGTGCCCCGACCCCGACCACCACCAGGGGAAAGCGCCCAGTTTCCACCAGGGCGCCGACGAGCAGCACGGGCGCTCCAAAGCGGAGCGATCGCACAGCGTCCGGGAGGAGCAGCACTACGGCCAGAGCCAGGCGGACCCGGACAGAGACTACGGCTATCAGAAGCCGGGCTCCAAACCCGTGCAGTCCCACTACGACAACTTGGACGATTACCACCCAGTACCTCAGCCCAAAGCCCCGGCCCAGAAGCACGGCGGCTCGGGCCCCTTCCCGGCCCCGGGTTTCTCCGCCAGCAGCAGGGCCTACTCCACGGCCCTGGGCCAGGGGGCCTTCATCCAGACTGAGCTGGCCATGCAGAGGCCGGAGGCCGAGATCTGCACAGAATGAAGCATCCCAGCGGGAACAGAGCTATGGTTGAGCAGCCTCTGCAGGACAGTGGACTGTTACAGCACCCATATTTTTGCCTCTCTGTATTTTTAATGAATTGTAAAGAATATTGACTTTTTACAGAAAGTCCTGAATGTACCTGAAAATTATTGTCCATGAGGTCTATTCGTGATTGATTGAGACAGTAGCCAATCATAAATATGTACGATAAGAAAGACGTGGGGTACTTTTGACAGGAACCACGAAAATGTAAAATATATATATATACATATATATATATACACAATGTATGCATACATATATTTATATATCTATATATATGTGTATGTATATAGATAGAATCACTAGTAAAGGGAGTTTTAGTTTTTTCTTTTAGTTTATTAGGTGAGGCTCTGGGCATGAACATGAACTGGGACTGAAGTTTGCATTTTAGAAATGCATGCACTCGATCTCTTACAGAACAGTTCTGTGTCCTTCTCTATCCATCGCGTTCTGTCTTACAGCACAAGTTCATGAAGGAGCAAACATTTAGGTCAAGGAGCCCAAACGTGCAGGAGGCGGCAGAACAGCGCTGGTCAACGGTCATAAATGTCTTATTCTCTCTGTGACTGTGCCATTTTTAAGGTAACTTTGTTATAAACAGATTTCTGTGACTTCTAAAGGAATGTTTTGGTACTTGTCTGTTCTTCGTTGGAAGAGGGGACCAAAGACTCGGCACATTTCTTGCACATTCGGGATAAAGATGAGAAAGAGAATGATTGTTGTCGCTTCTGGAGTGTAAAAGATGATTTTATTTCCTTTTGTTTTAAGTCATGGTACTTTCGGAAACTGGACGGATTGAAATAAAGCTGAAATATCCTTTCAAACAACATGAAGAACATGTTGCCGCTGCTTCATGACGAGCCTTAATTTTTGTTCCTGGAACCATATCTTGTTTACTGTTGTCCACTGTCATAATGCACAAGCTTTTTGGAATGCCCTCTGTGGTCCGGGGGGTCTGGTGTGGTGGTTTTTTTCTGGGTTCTTTTTGGTTTTGAATTTATAGAAAAGGGAAAACGTTATTTCTTTGTTAAAGAATGCCTGGGGCCAGTCTTTTCATGCTGGAAATAGATATGAAGTACGCTCATTTAGTAGTATACTCCAAACCTTTTGGGTTCTGCATAGTGGATGGATTACAGTATAATTCAAATATGTCAAAAACCAGGTTGTACTCTGTAACCGTTTGACTTCTATATCGCTTGCAGGTTTTGCTCCTCTTGCCTTATCTAAAGCCTCTACCTTCTCAGATGGGCTGTTGACGTAAGGCACTGTGTACTTGAATGTGAAAACACTTGTCTCAAACTAGAGGTGTCTAAAGTCGGATATTGAATAAATAAAGCCTTTCAGGAATAGCTACAACCTGTGGCTTCTGATATTTTGCTGATTCTAACTTATATTTGTCCCTCTGGATGGGCGAGTCCAGGTAAACAGGTTTTTAATTACTGTGTCTGAGTGGCTACAGCAGGGGACTTTGAATCAAACACATACAATTCATCTTCCTAACTTCATAGACTTCAATTGTACCCCAACCACCAAAATGTAGTTATTCTCAGGTGATCACTGGAATAACTTTGACCCTTTAAAGACTGTTTCTGTTGTCCGTGATTTCCCCCCAAAAAATAAAATCCTGTATCTACAGGATTAAAAAGTATGTTTACATTTCTATGAAAAGACATCATCTCTATAACAGACAAACTTCTAACTAACTAACTGATCCCTGATTGATTATCTTCTGTAGAAGCTGAATACAAAACAGGACCTCAAAAATCAGTCCTACGTTAACCCTGAATACTTAGGAAATGAATTAGCCGCTGCAGAAAGAAAAATTCATGAAAATATGGAGGTCGGTAAAGAATCGCAGTTGTCCAGATTGACTGATTGCAGCATGTGTGCTACACTGTTCTCAAAAAGAAAATTAAGTGCAGAAATGAGAAGAAGAGGCTCTAACATCGACGCTGGACCTAAAAAGCAAGCTACTTTTTCCTTCTCTGACCAGAGACCTGCGTTATACCTCATTCTGAGGAATGCCGATCATTTCTAGATTTTCTTAATGACCCACTCAGGATCTTTGAATGCTCAAATTGTAGTATTTGTTGCTTAAGGAATTGGTATGTTGATCAAATAATCTGCAGAAAAATTAAATACCTTTTTTATATATTTGCTTAATCAAATTACAGTAAAGTTTAGAGTTACCTTTTTATCATTAAATCTAAACAAGAAAAAAAAAAGTCAAACAAGTGGAAAGAGAGAAAACATTACCCTGGAAATTGATTAAAAGCAGTGTTCGCATTAGATCAAAATGCAGCAGAAACCGGGCAAACCCCCCCAAAAAAGACCAAAGCAGGTCAAACTCATCCATTCTGGGATGGGAAACAAAAGATGTGGGGCACCAACACAACAAATACGAGTTTAGAAGTGAGAGCAGGAACGTCGTTATTTTAGGTTTGACCTTAAAAAAAAATCTAACGAAAGGATTAGGATTATGGATGCACATCAGTGATATATGTTGGAGCTTTTTCACTGAGGAGTTTACAGAATAAATTTGGAGAAAAGACAACACAGTCCCAAATTTGTTCAAATCTTATCCATTAGTCCGCTCGTTTAAAAAAGAAAATCTAACGCCGTTCTGTCTGAATTTTTCATTAAAATGCTCTACTTATAACATTTGCATTAACTGATTTTTATTGGTTTTGTATTTGTCTTGTATTTTTATAGGTTGGAAGAAATAATTTTAAATGCAAAGGAAATTATGGTTATAGTTGGTAATGTGTCCTCACCAGACACGTCGTCGTTTCTGAAAAAAAGTTGAGAAAACGAAGTTTGAATGTTTACAAACGTTGGTGTTGCATTATGGGAGACAGATGATTGACACCGGCGCCATTTTGCCGTCGCTCTGCCTCCATTGTGTGAAGATAGTAAATATCCGACTCTGCCAGACAACCACAACACACTTAAATCGCTGCGACGTAAAAGCGTTAAATTCACCCCTGGTGAGTAAAAAAAATACACACTTTGTCAACATTAGAGTATACTTTGTTGTTTAGAAGTGGAAAATCGAAGGCTGGGGTTGTTTTTGTGCTGAAAAAGCGTGTGAATTCGGTGAGAAGAAAAAGCAGCTGTCTCGGCGCTGAGAGAAAAACGGCTCAGGACTTCAGCTGCCGAAAAATCTGCTTCACTTTCAGCCGCGGTTTCGACCCCGCTTTTCTGCCATGAAACGGCCTCGCTTCGCCCACTAGTATTGCTCTTTTGATAGCTGCGTTTGCCTTCTATAATTTGCCGATAATTACTTTTCTGTGCGTTTTGTGTTTTTAAGGCTAAATGTGAAAGTTTGCGTCCTGTCCGCTGGTTCTACGCTGGTAGATAGGTTGATTTCAGTCTGCGGCCATAATCCTGCGGTATGAGGCGGGATCAGACCCGCTTGTCCCGCCCAAGAACCCTTCGGTCTCAAATGGGATTGGTCGGGAGATACTTAAAAGACGTTACCGATTGGTTTGTTTTAGAATATTGCTGCTTCTGAATTGCGATTGGTGTCAGCAGAAGGTAGCAGTATTTTAATTGGCCAGGGGTATTGAGTTTGTTCATCTGCCAAGAGGGAAAGTTTTCTCAGGAGACTCACGGAGGAACGAAAACACTTGACATCCTGGATAGATTAAAAACTTGGGATTCTACAGTTTAATGAAATATTACCTATATATTACACAAAATGGGGTGAAAAGGTCAACTATACATTGCATATTGAGCTACTGAGCCACACTGTAGCTCTCCAAGCTTTATGAAGCCTTTAAATTATTTTCTTTAGCAAGTTTCTGCGTTTTTTACTAATTCTCAGTGCAGAACTTGGTTCATTCATGGAAATGTTTCCTTTTTGTTTTTTTTTGTTAAACTTCTTAAAGCTAAGAAATTCATTCTTCGACTTAATTAAGATGTCAACCTCTTAGTATGAATCATTGCTGTCTTCGACACATACTAGCTTAGAAATAAAGTTATATCAAACTCATATAAGTTCCAAGGTGATATTTTTGCATTTGTAGCCTGATTCATAAGCTAATAGCCTCAAATTGCAGAAAATATCAGTACATATAGAAATTAGTCACTAATAGGAGAGAAAAAATAAATGATTTATGACCATGGATTTTATCCAATGTTTCTTTCAGGTGATACTTTGTCGTCATGGCTCGTACCAAGCAGACAGCTCGTAAGTCCACTGGAGGAAAAGCTCCTCGTAAGCAGCTCGCCACCAAGGCTGCCCGCAAGAGCGCCCCCTCCACCGGAGGCGTCAAGAAGCCTCATCGTTACCGGTAACGCTGACTTGAGGATTTTATTTCACAAATGTATACACAACATGAACGTAAGGCAGAGCAACATGATTTGCTGGATGTTGTTTGGTTACTTAATTAGTTAAATTCATTGTTGTTCTTTGAAACTGAGTCCAAGCTCATTACTGTTTGATAGAATTGTTACAAAACCTTTACAGTCAGATCATGGACCACTTGCCTTCTTTTCTCACATAAATCTGAGCTCTGACTGACTTTTAGACGGCTTGCTGGCCATGTTATGGAGCTTTTCCAGGAGATGAGACACACAAAAAGATTTTTCCTTTGAAATTGAAGTGGAAGCTGGCGATAAGCTGGAGTTACTGCGGGAACATGATTTAGAAAACTTGCTTTATGCCTTTCAACTCTGACGTTATTTTGACTCATGTTTCAGAATATTAAGTTAAAGCTCGGTACCATCTGTGATGGGTGTTGTTGTGATGGAGAAGCCCGAGGGGGTTCCAGACGCTGAATGGGGGGCCGCTGTATGTTTCAGGCCCGGCACCGTGGCTCTGAGGGAGATCCGTCGGTACCAGAAGTCCACTGAGCTGCTGATCCGTAAGCTGCCCTTCCAGCGCCTGGTGAGGGAGATCGCTCAGGACTTCAAGACCGACCTGCGCTTCCAGAGTGCCGCCATCGGAGCTCTGCAGGTGTGTAGGCGGCTGCCGATGCGGCGGGGGGGGGGGCGCGTGAGGGCGTGAGGCGGCGGCACACTGACGCCCGTCTGTGTTTGCGCAGGAGGCCAGTGAGGCATACCTGGTGGGTCTGTTCGAGGACACCAACCTGTGCGCCATCCACGCCAAACGGGTCACCATCATGCCCAAAGACATCCAGCTGGCACGCCGCATCCGCGGGGAGCGCGCTTAGACGCCCCCCGGCGGCCCACTTCATCCTGTTTTTCTCTGCCCGTCCCTGTAATCACTTCTTCGTCTTCCCTCCCTCCCCCTCCTCCCCCCTCCTGCCCGGCTCCCCCGTAGGCTTTAGGGTATTCCTGATGACGAACAGATAGAAATATGTCCGAGTCTGGTCTCTCTTAGATTCTTTTTGTCTGCATCGGATGTTTTTAGGGTACCGTTTTCGTGCATGTGAAAGGTTTCTCAGATCGGCTGCGCGTGCGCACGCAGAGTCGCGCTGGGTGGTGCTGCGGAGCACCAGAGGGGCGGGGCCCAGGGGTTGGTCTGCTTAAGGGGAGCTGCAACTTCCACAGCAGGGTGCTATTAAAACTAGCCCCGAAGCCTGTGGCCCCTCTGAACTACCCCCCCTCCCCTCCTCCTGCACCCGCCATCTGCTGCGGGGGTGGGGGGGGGCAGGCCGCTCTGGCCATGTGGACACGTGAGCCCTGATCTCCCAAACCACTCGTAATCAACAATCTCTTCTCAGTTGCTTAAAATTGATCAATGTTGTGGATACGGTGTCTATTTTTTTTACGCGTTTAAATCACAGAGGAGCATCTCTTCTTTTACCACTTCTGAATCATCAAAGCCAGAAAAATGATCGACCCCATGAGCACGACGATCAGGTGATCCCATTCGCAATAGAAACTCCACAAGGGCTCATGTGTTTTCCAAAAGAAGAGCTGTGAACCCCAGCGGCCACACGGGGGCGCTCGCTCGCCGGCCACCCTCCGGGTGACCAGTGATGCTGAGGCGGCGCTCGCCGCTCACAGAAGGGTTGAAGGTTCAGATCGACCCCCTACATGTCGAAGCTCCGTGCGTCTGAGCATGAAAAAATGTCCCTTTCTCAAAATTTGTGATACAGAATATAACCTCATACTTGTGTTCTTTTATATTTTTCTTATTCCTTGAGATTTTCAGACGTATAAATAAGCTGATCTTTGTATTTTCCAAATTTCTCATATTATGGTGGTAATAAATAGGTGTTAAAAGACTGTGTGTGTCCCTGATTGTTTTGCTGAGAGCAGTGGGAAATGAGAAATAGTGCAATGCAGCCCCGCGGCCACAAGGGGGAGACCTCACACCACAGACATGAATCCCCTGTGGAGAGGAAACTGTTCCACACTTGTGTTTAAGCCACTTTGTGTTTGACTTTGGAGCATCCAAACACATCAAATAAACGTCCACATGCACAATCGATGAATATTTTACAGAGTTTTGTATTTAACCTCAGAGATGTGATCCCTCCCTGTTCAGACTGCTACTTAGACTCGTGCACATGCATGGCCGGATGTGCACGGAGCAGCTTACAAGCCAATTAGGACTTTGAGAAACAGCATTCACAGAGTTTCATTCTATGGTGCATTTAGGTGCTAATGAAAAGCTGTTTTTCTGGGTTTTAATCCAGTCTGTTGTCCCATACTATCAGAACACCGTCTCTTTTACCTCATCTCGATACTCTCTGTGCTTATGACCCAGGAAAGACATTATAGTGTTCATACATACCACAGAGATATAAACATATAGTTTAAGACCCTTAAAATCAGAGCAAAAGTGACAAGAGGATGCTTCTTTGTAGTCAGTCCTCTGAAGTGAGTACAGTTTCAGTCTTTTGATGTGCGATTGTAAGCAGACTGACGGAGTCAGATGACCTTTCATGATCCTCTTCTGGACACTATGGTATCCAGAGGAGTTTGATACTCTCTCCTCCCTAATATATGAAAACAGCTGAATCCGGTGATGTAACTTCATGTGGAAACAGTGAGTGTGGACATTTCAAACATTATTGAGTTTATGACGTTTCACATCTCTGTTCATGTCAGGTGGAAATAGCCAGAATTAACCACGACTTTAGCAAAGTGTTTATCACTTTTTCTCCTCACTTGTTTGCCATCAATTTAAAATTTTCCACCACATACAAGTCGGGTTAACTTTAACAGCTTTCCCCCCTCATTAACTAACATGAATTGTTACTAAATATTTTCAGTCTAGAGCAGTTAGCTACTATTGTAGGTATTCATTGTATTCAGGGTGGAATTCATTTTAAACTGTTGCTTTAATGGCCACAGTAGTCCAGCCTTTAGCCACCAGTGTCTCTGCCATCTGTTTACTGGACGTCACAAACAGATATCACAGTCCTGACTGGACTTAGTTTGCTGGGCTTTTCAAAGACAAACAAAAACAAGCTGCCTTGTGTTTCTGTATCTGTCAGTTATGTTCAAGCCTTCTGAAAACACGTCTTTCTTCTTTTTCTTGCAGAGGGTAAGCTGTATTTTTCCCCCCTGTTTTTTCCCTCTGTTCACCTTCCTCAAGGTCCCTCCATCCCCCATCACATCTGCTCCTCCCTGGGATTACAGCGCAAATGTTTGTCTGAAACACGGAGCTGACGGGGGGATTACAAGTGCACTGCACCCTCAGAGAGGGGTTAGCCAATCGGGGCTCGCAGACAGAGGGATTAACCAATGGCTCTGCAGAGAGGGAGGGCAGAGGGATTAAACAGGGCACAGAGTGGGATTAGGTCAGCGATGGGAGCCGAAAAGTGCTTTAAAATGTCTCTGATAGATTTTTAAAGGTTTGGGTTGGATTTTTATCATACGTCAGAAATGTATAAGTGGCGATTTGACTGGAAAAGCGCTGTAGAAGTACAAGAGAATTGACCATGATCTCTCATTTGACATCAGTTCATCTGATCTAAAACTGTTGACTGGCCTCTTTTTTCTTTATGAACGTTTTTATTTCCCTTCCAAACTATGCCTGAGCCGGGGGTGGAAAAAAGATGAGAGAACCTGGAATAAATCCGCTCTCCGTCCATCTTCTGCCCAGCTGTGTCAAATCTTTCTGCACATTTGATGTCATCACTAAGTTTACGTGGTAATCAGGTCATGTGGAGATTACCAAGTGGCCAGAGGAGCTGTGGAGAAGGGGAGAGGGGGGGTAGGGGAGCCACTCGAATCTGGAACAATTTATGACGGCAAGTGTCAGGAAAAGACTTAGTTTGCCTTATTGTTGTTTGCCACGCAGATGTTCCGCTCACCTCTTATGCACAGGACGCTGGACCCTGTGGCACAAAGAGGCAAACAGAGGAGAGAAAACGGTGGTGATGCAGAGCCGGAGAAGCCAAACAAGGAAAGGGACAAAGATAGACTAGATGGAGGTAAAAAAAGGAGAGAGCCAAGAATGGGAGAGTGGAAGAGGTGGAGGTGGGTGAGAGACAGAGGGGAACAGGCCAATAATCCTAACTAATTCACTTAGGGCATTGCTGAAGGGAGGCTAAGAGGATTGGGACACTCCCAGAACCAGATAAGCTAAAATAACCAAGACGCACCAGTGAGAGCCCTGCAGGCCATATGACAACCTGACAGGTCCAGACCCACCGCCCAGCAACACTGGCCCCTGAGCAGGGGTCTCACTGACCCCTAAAAGCTGGACCTTCTGCTCGTGCTAATGACCATCAGCACTCAGAGGGGTAAAGAGTGGATGACTGTAACATGTCACACAGCTGAAACAGTTCAAATCTCTTTTATTTCCATCATTCAGATCAGGATCAGAACACTAAAGGCTAACACTGTTATACATAACACAAATCTTTCCAAAAAAAGCTAAACAAAACCAAGTGATATACCTAAATAATAATAAATAGTTAGAATAATGTAACCCCGAAGGAGATGAACACCTATAGCTCCCTCATTTCAGAACAGCACTCCCTCCAAATCTATCACAACATAACTTTAAAACAGAATTTAGAAATGTTCGATCTGTGTGCGCGTGATCGGCTCCGCTCCGTTTTTTTTTCCTGCAGACTTTCCAAAGCCGTTGGTTTTTCTCACTTTTCGCACAAGGTGGGGACGCACTCTGCAGTCGGCCGCTCCTCAAATCCCAAAACTCCCCCCGGACGACCGCGTTTCTACAGAGGTCGCTCCCAGACAGAAAAAACACACATCATCTGACAAACATGGAACTGAGACTCATCTTTTATGCCCCCTGCCCCCCCCCCCCCCAACACCCCCACACCCCAACCCCACTTTCCCCACTAGAGGACCTGGAATTTCCAGGAGTTTTGGTCCTTGTGGTCCAGGCAGTCCATTGTGGTGAAGCCCAGTTTCCAGGCCTGCTGGTCCTTGTAGTCCAGGCAGTCAACGGAGGTGAAGCCCAGGGAGGAGGCGGTGCTGTAGCCCTGCGAGGACAGCGAGGCGGGGGACTGGCTCAGGGAGCCCCCCATGGAGGGCACGGTGATGGGGCTGAGCGCGCCGCCGGTGCCCGACAGCTGCGAGTGCATGGGGGACAGGTAGGCGCTGCAGTCCAGGCCGGTGAAGTAGGAGGTGGTGCTGGCGTAGCCCTGGGAGTAGGCTGATGGCTGGCCATAGCTCATGGGGTAGGGGGAGGGCCTCTGCATGCAGGGGGCAGAGGAGGAGGCCAGGGGGTCGGGCAGGGGGGAGATGGCCGGGCTCCAGATGGACACCGCAGTGTTTCCAGTGCTGGAGCTGGGGGCCAGGCTGGGGCCCGACTGGGCCGAGGACGGGCTGTAGGAGCCTGGGGGGTTAGGGACCGGATCAGGGGCGCTGGGCTCCTGCACGGGGGAGGCCTTCTTCTTGGGGGGGCGGGGCTTGGACTGGCCGCTGCTCTGCTGCTGCTGCTGGCGGCATTTGGCACGGCGGTTTTTGAACCACACCTGAATGGGCAGAAAGAAAAAACACAGCCTGTCACTGAAGCCTGTGGGGGGGCCGGACGTCGGCCGGCGCCGGCTCGCCAGAACACGCCGCCCTCCATCTTGGCGTGGGCTGTACCTGCACACGTGACTCGGGCAGGTTGATCTTGAGCGCCACCTCCTCCCGCATGAAGATGTCCGGGTAGCGGGTCTTGGAGAAGAGAGCCTCCAGGATGTCCAGCTGCGTCCGGGTGAAAGTGGTGCGCTCTCGGCGCTGCTTCCGGGGAGTGGCTGCCAGCCAGGGAGACAACATGAGATATAAGCATCATTTTCTTTTAGGGAGAAGCCCCAAATATACTAAAAAATGAATATCAGTATTAAGGAATGTGACACAGTTCGCCCTGATGGTTCAACAGAAGGAGGACTAAGTGCATTAATTCATACATTAAACTAAATTTACAGTCATTTGGTCACAGTTTAACTCCAGTAAAAGCTTGATTATCTTTGCTCTCATAATGCTCTCAAATGAATGGATGTGTTTGTATCAGGACAAGTAAAACACACAAGAAATGCCAATGGATTTATTCATAGAAATATGGGACTTCACTGAATGAGTGCCTCTGTCTATGTTTCATCTGGGTCGGTATCAGAAGACTTTGAGAAAAAGTGCTAAATATCTTTTAAAAACGAGAAGGAGTCCTTTAAAAGGTTGAATAACCAACAAATAGTCGTTTTAAAGGCTAACAAAGATACCCTATGTTGAATAAGGTAAACATCAAACAGCCTCATTCAAAAAGACCAAATCTGGTCCGAATCTCCTCTTAAATTTGAATTAACAGTCGCGATTAGGTATGTTCAATACGTCCCCATAAACACTGAAACTTTAGATTGCCATATTCTCTCTAACATAACAAATAAGTTATTCCAGTTTATTCTCTTTTCTCCGTTTGGATGTTGCGTTACGCAGCCTGTGCGTTTTTACGCGTCAGTCTGTCAGACTCAATACGTTCTGCCACAAGGACGAAAAGGAAAAAAAAAGCCTAATATCTTATTTATGATACATGTTTTTTAGAAAAAGTCTTCCAAGAGAATAAAAAAATGTTTATCGGATGGTACTTACGTGGATACGCGACGGTTGTATGAAGGACATCCATCCCGGGACCAGGCAAATTTAACCCGTTCATGGTGTAATGGGGTTGCTTTATGTAGGACATCATCCTTGCAGCAGGCTTTTAAGTCCTGTCGCTGACTTGTAGGTCGGACTGGCTACGCAGCAGCCGCGGGCCCTCAGAGCTCTGCGGCGGCACCAAGTCGATGCGTCCTAACCGGCCCGCTGCGCACAGACTTTACGCGCCGGAGAGTTCGCAGCAGAGACGCCGAAGAGAGTTCTTTTTTTCTTTTTTTTAAACTGTACTTTCGGCTTAAACTAATGTCAGCTTAGCAGCAGAGCAGAGCGCGGCGCGCTGCGCATCCGGACCGCTCCTGGGATTCAGAACTCCGGCGGACAAAGTCACCACGCACAGGTGGAGTGCCCCCGAATTCCTTTGCGCCCTGGTACAGTCGCTCCACTGAGTTACATTACCGGCACACGCTGCTAATTAGAGGCGGCCAGTGAGTCCGCAAACCCCTCCCACACTCACACGGACACACACGCGCACGAAGGGTGCACGCTGACAGCCACAGCAACAGGCTGTGCTCAGGTCTGTTTCTTTGTGCATTTGCATGAGGACTCCTTTCTCATGAATATGATAAAGAGAGGAAAGAGATGAATAAATAACTCAAACACCCCCCCAAAAATGCAAGAAAAATTCCACTTTAACAAATGTTCCACTAAAAACCATGTTTTATATCAAAGTTAAATAAAAATAATCAACAAAAAAGTGTTTAGAATAAGTTTTCCCTACCGATGTCTGTTTTTTCTTCCTCCAGACCCCCCTGGTCAGCCAGCTACTGTTCATGATCCCTTCATACAGAACTCACAGATCATAAAACACACCTCCTGAAACCACCAGCACACAAACACTAACACAGACAAAAGAGACTAAGCTCATTTGATTTATTATGATATGCTTTATCTGAAAAGTAAGTGTCTCATCTCCAGATAAAGAGCGGAAAGACAGATCGATGTGATCAGTGGGGCGGCAGGAAAGTGGCCGGAGGGACCACGCAGCCACAGGAAAGTTTGGGAAATTCGGCCGTCGGCGAGCACGCAGAGCAGAGAGAAACAAGAAGACGGTCGAAGATGAGAAAAGTCGATGGGCAGCGTTTGACTTGGGCAACGTGGGTCAAGAGACAGCTGCCGCAGCTGATGGGTGACCGGACTCACAAAGGAAAGCGTTCCTGCCACCCGAATGTGTTTCTGTGGACCAGTTTAGTGAGAGTATTGGCCCAAAAGTGGGTCTCACATACATGTGTGTGTAAATGGTGGAAGTCTGTGTGCATTGTGTGTTTGTGTTGAAGTCAAACAGATTTCAGGTTTAAAGGCTTTCAGCTATGATGCTTTTAATATAGAGAAAAATTGTTTGACTTTCCACCTCTTAGACTTTTTTATTCAAATGTTGCTGGGTTGCAAAGGCCCCCACGAGCCCTGGCTGGGAGGAGGTGATAACTCTGCAAGTTAATGACTTTTCTCTGATGAAATGGTCATACATGTCACACAAACACGGTCCATGTGATGATGGCGGAGCAATCTAACACTGGTCTCATAGCGGCAACAGCAAATAGGGAAGTAGGCAAGAGGACTGGGTGGATTTAATCCCCGGCCGACTGCCCTTCCCCCTCAAACGGGGCCCGCACATGATCAGAACGATGCAAGCAAGCATTTTTGTTTCAATCCCGAGCACAGATTGTGCTGGACACACGGAAGCCTGACACTCAGGACGGGGGGCTGCGTGAATGGAGAGCAGGTAAAAGGAGGGACGGGGAAGTGAGAGGGCCGGGGGGGAAGCAGGTGAAGGGGCAGGGGGTGGGGGAAGGCTCCGGTCCTCGTCCCCACTGACACACTGCTGCAGTTAATCCAGATTAGAGTGTCTAAAACAGGTCGGCTAAATCTGCAGGCCAGCCAGCAATACAGAGGCTGCTGTCAGCCCCAATCACTCACAGACGCACACTGTAATAATCTCCTCTGTGCAAACCAGGTGCTACCAGCAGCTCAGCACACTCCACCATTAACCTCTGCCCCCTCCAGCCAAGTTAGGACTCACGCCGGTGAGACCACGCAGAATAAAAGGCTGTGACGATGTCGAGCACTTTGCGGGACAGACGGAACACCCGTCGATTCAGCTTCAACCTGCCGAGTCATCATAAATCTCAATATGACACGCAGACTTAATAGAGGAGCTGTTTCCCAGTGAGTCCGACCCGATGCGAGACCAAGTCCACCTCCTGTGTGGTCGCAGTTAGATTCCCGTAATGTTAACGTGGGCCCAGACTCTCCACGAGTCAACCCACAAGATGTGGAGACAGGATACATTTCCAGCCTCACACAGTTATAATGATTGAGCGCTTTCCTCCGGAATGCTGTTTTGTCATGTGGAAACAGGGATCGAATCCTCTAACCGTTCACCAGAACCCTTAAGCCCATGAGCAGTGATGTTTCAGGGCCCGTGGAACCAAACGCTGATTTTACCAGTTCGTTAATTTACTTCTTTTGGTTCAAACTCCAATGCAAATCCACTCAGAGTTTGTTTCCTTCAAAGAAAGCGTCAAAAGAGGAAAAACCCCAAAGTACCTCCTCAAACGCTGTGTGTGATGTCACGTCTTAAGGTCACCGCAGGACCGCAGACTCACACTGATTAGACCAAAACATGAGCAACCAAAATAAATCAAGATCTGAGATAAGACTGGAGCAAACTGTGGCTTTTCAGAGAGAGAGCAGAGTGTAAATCTGGGAAAGGGTTTGGGTGGTCTGGGGAAATCTACGTGTCCGAATGCCAAGGACAAATGTCCCTGTCTGATGACCTTTGACCCCTCAGGAAGCATGGTGCTGTTATGATCCATGCAGCCGTGGACCAGGGGGACCAGAACCGTCCCCTCCACCACCACATCCAGAAAGGTGAGAGCTGAAGCGGTGCCAGGCCTCTGGTCCACATCTGTCCACATCTGCCTCCAACTGAAAACATACAGAGCATCGTGAGGAGGAGAGCCAGGATGCAGATTCCCTTAAAACCTAAATCCTCTCCACTGTAATCACACTGATTGGAGGTGTAAAAAACAAACACACCCCTGTCAACACATTTTCAGAACAGTTAATAAAACATTTTTTTTTAAAAACCTGGACACTTCTGATCCGAAACGAGTTTAAAGGACGGGACATGTGGCCTCTGAAAGCCCGGAGTCAAACCAGCAACCCTATGATCGGCAGGCCACTTCTCGACCTTCAGCCGCTAAGTCGATGATTTCAGATTCAAAGTAATTAGCCAATTCCAGATTTAAGGTGGGGGTTTGCTGCTTTGCAAACCTCCTCAAAATGTCTTTTCTTTTTTACCAAATGACTGTTTGGCCAGTTTCCCAATTTGGTTTGCATCGATTCCTTGAAACACAACAACAGCTTCCTGTCCGGGTTTCTTCGTCAGGAAATTGAACATAAATTACCCCCTTACTTTTTTAACAGGAAAAACAAACTCCGGTCCTCGGGGGTCGTCGGCCAGCAGGCTTTGGGTCTCTCCTGCTTTAACTCACCTGTTTCCCATCGATGTGAGCAGGCTTTTGCAGAACTTAGCAGACTTTTGAAGAAATCTGATCAATCCAAACGCAGAAACAGGGCAACGTCTAAAATCTGCAGGACCAGCTACTAAAGATATCAACAGCCTATTGTTCACACATGCCTTTCAGTTGACTGCTGCACATAAATTAGATGGACTAAAAAATACTGGAACGTAAAACCAAAAGTGACGGGGTCAAGTTTAGGAAGGAAATGTCTTCTGAAGCACTTTCAGGTCAGTCTCAGAACAACTGTGAACATTTTCCTCGTCATAAATGTCTCAATAATGATAAAAAATTAAGCTAAAACTACATGTTTTATGTTTCAGGTAAAACTTCTTATGCAAGATGCATGTGTGTGTTTGCGTGTGTGTGCGTGTGTGTGTGTGTGTGTGTGTGTGTGTGCGTAATGACTCAGGAGTTGCAATGTGAGGTGAGGTGTGTCACTGTGGAGGATGAGTGATTACAGTGGACAGTAATCCTGCAGATGGATTAGCAGGTGGCATTAGGAGAAGTGGGGGTGCAGCACTCCACCACCTCTGAACTGTAACAATATGGAGCGGCAGCTCGCCGGGGCCTCGTCTCCGTCTGCTCCTCCCCCCCCGCGACACATGTACAGGACACCGCGACACGGATCCACAACATGGAAAATGAGCTGCGTGACACTAAATCAGGTGTCTTCTCTGACCAAACGCTGCTCTTCCCTCTGTGTCTCAGTCAAACGTGTTCATCTAATGCATGAAACTCCATAATTTCTCCATTCGGTTGTCCTGTTTGGCTTTAGAATGACCACAACAAAGTCTGACCCTCTGCCACCCATTTGATAAAAACTTCAAAAACAGTCGGAAACCCTTCAGTTTGAGGATCCCTTAATGTTAGTGTCTGTTGGGCTGATAGCTGAACAAAATAAACAGAAGTTTTAGAAAAATCTAAATAGTCACTGACTAAGTAAAGAGTCTGAGAAGCTTTTAGAAACGGCTTTCTTTTCCACTTTGCTTTCTTTTAAGATAAGACGTGCTTAAAAAGGATACTGCTTATAACCTCTGAAAAGTTTGATGATTTGCATCAGACCTTCTCTTATTGTTTGAACGTCATATTTGCCATTTTTTGACATCATCATCTGTCAGTAATTCTGTCACATGTTGGCATCTGGAGGGCAGGTGGGGGGGTGTATAAAAGAGCCGACCTGTAAAACCAGCATCAGCTTATGTTGATGAAAAGAGGAAAGTGTCACCGTTTCAGATCACAAAGGCATCGTTTCGGCAAATAAGTGTCCAACATGGACCCACAAGCAAACTTTACCACACAAATGACCGGCCATGTACTCTGTAATCGTAAATTCTTTTGTCTCTTCAGAAGTAGAAGTAACAAGAAGAGGGAGAGTCCCTCGTAGTTCAACCTGATGAGTGGGTTTTTACTGACCTCTGGTGGAAAACTGCCAACTGTATGATTTCTCAGGCTGTGAAGTTTTCTCTCTCTATAATTATACATAATAGTAAAAAACGAGGAAAAGGCTGGATACAAAAGCAGGAGCATCATTCAACCAGACAAAATATTGCTGAAGCCCCCCTAAAAAAACTTAATTAATATACATTTAGCTTCATGATGCTCTGTCTGTGGGGAAAAGCCCATGTTGGGTGTCTTTTAAATCAAGACTTCAGCCCTGGCGCCGCCCTCTGGTCAAATGAGCAGATTTATCCTCTCCGGTCCAAAAAGACCTCAGAGATTAGTTAGTTTATTAATTTAATGTTAACAGGTACTCGTTAAAACTTCCATCTCCTTCTCTCATGTGAGAAAGAAGAATTAGTTCTGGTCTTTTGCTGCTCTGATCAAACTTTTAGCAGGTGGGGAGCTGCTCACAGTGAGTTTACCCGTGCCCCACGTAGGTTTGAGGAGGTTAAAAGAACAAAATCGTGTTTTTATAGTTTAGAAATGTTTTTTTAACTGGTTTAACTGGATCCTGTCATCCAGCTGACAGGATCCAAGCGTCCCGATGCAGAGCCACGTTTTCCTGTCATTCAAATCCACCACAGATTGAACTGCGTGTGGTTGAGCTGTTTCACCGCTAGATGGCAGCCGCTACAAGTGGTCCATTTGTGAAATCCAGCGAAGAAGTGTCATGCTGCCTTTAAAGCATCATAGTCGGTGGGGAACGTGAGCGTCTCTTCAGAATATTTACAATGATGCGTTGAATTTACAATTAATCACGTAAGAAATAAAATTTCTTCGAGACACAAATAAACTAAATTAATGTTAAAACAACTTATATTTGTTCATTTTAAATTTCCATCTTTGTAACCTGTGAAAAGAAATGTCTGTGCCGTGTCATTAAGACCAAGAAGCTAAATGTATCCGACAGACATGAACGCAGCAAATGACGGACCTGCTTGTTTTGGTTGTGATAACCTGGTCCGGATATTTAAATACACTGGCGCTCACAGCGCGCGTGTCTTCAAACTAAAACGTTGCTTAAAGGTGATTTTCGCTCACTTTTAACACCCCGAGGTTGGCTGAGATTTAAAAGCAAACGTCCAGACTTTTCTCGTCGCGTCGCGTGCGCTGGTCTCGCGCAGGATGCTCCGAGAGTCGTATCCCTTCGTGGAGGACAGCTTCAGCCGCCTGCCGTCGCAGAGCAACATTTACGGCCTGTGTCAGGCCGGGGAGCAGGAGCTGTTGGCGGCCACCCTCAAAGGGAAGGTGGTGTGCTTCCGGTACCAGGAGCTGCAGCACAGAGTCCGGCCGGTGGCCAAGGAGGTCCAGTTCACCTACATACCAGGTACGGAGACCCCCGCCTGCCCTCAGGGCTGTTGGCCGCTAACCTCTGAGCCTGACTGCTTCTTTCAGTTGATGCAGAGATCGTGTCCATTGATGCCTTCAACAAGTCTCCGCCCAAAAGAGGCCTGGTGGTGGGCATCACCTTCATAAAGGTACGCAAAACAAACCGGTCTGCAGCCATGGGTCATGTGTGTGGGCTCTCCTGGGGGGTTGGGGGGGTATAGAGTGGTGTTACTGTGACCTGCTCTCCTGCAGGACTCTGGAGACAAAGCTACTCCCTTCCTGAATATCTACTGCGACTATGAGCCCGGCTCGGAGTTCAACCTGGAGTCCATTGCACGTGAGTGGAGCCGCAGCCAGATGTGCGCGGTGAGGCCTGTGGGCACTGTAACAGCTGCCCGTGTGTTTGTGCACAGAGAGCTGTCTGAACCTGGAGCTGCAGTTCACCCCCTTCCAGCTCTACCACACAGAGTAAGCTCCCACCCGCGTTCCCCGTCCCCTCGTCTCACACACACACCAGCTCATGAACAGCTACCAGTTTAACAGGCACATCTTTGACCCGGAGCAGCTCTGTGATCCAGAGATATTCAGGAGGATTTAGAGCTAGAAATGTTGCCTTCAGGGTTACTTCTTCTTATGGTAATTCCAAGTATTTTCCAGGTGTAAAAACCCACCTGCTGGAGAACTTTGGTGAAAGCGTTTTTTTTGTTTTTTTGTCAAACTGGAGGAATAGCAGAACATTAGATATATTTGATTCATACACATAGTATTAGACGGTGAAAAATGGAAGAAGGTCCCCTTTTTGTTTTTCCACACTGTCCTAACTTTTTCTGATTTGGCGTTGGCAATAATTACGAGGTATCCGTAATTATTATACCCCCCCCATCCCCCCCCAGGCTGCAGGATGCCGATGGAGGCAGAGAGACGGTGTTTCTGCTCAGTGGTCACGACCAGAGGATCCACCTCTACAAGGAGGTCAGCTGTCACACTACTGGCTCTAAAAGGCCCAGGCCCTCTGCTTTGTTCTAAAAGTTTAGTTCTGCAGGTGTTTTGGGTCTGGAAGGCTCCCACAAGCAGCCGGTGCCATCAGCAGTGGCCACAGCTGCTTGATCCAGGCTCCGTCTTCATACATGCAGCTGGATTTTAGTTTCAGACAAACCTTTCTGGTGTCATTCCTGAAGAAAACAGTTTTCCCCCTTTAATTACATTTCTTAGAATACGGAGCGGAAGCTGAGGCTAAAATCTGAAGCTCATATATATCTGTTTCTGGAGCCTGATGAGTGTGGCTGAATTTGTCTCCTTGTGTTTTTGGGGCACTCTTAGGACTCCCAGAGGGGTTAGATAGTGTGGCCGCTGCCCTATTCTCACTGTGGGATTGGGAACATGTGGTAGACTTTCCTTTGGGCTTTTCTTCAAGCATCAGCCTGAGTGTTCTGTCTCCAACAGAACGCCTCCCTGCACCAGTTTGAAGAGCAGCCGGTGGAGAAGCTCTTCCCGGAGCTACAGGAGCTGCCCAGCAAGTGAGCCCCTCCTTTGCTCTCCGGGTCTTTGTGAGGCTCCGGCGTTTCCTGCGTTGGCCTGTTCAGCGGGGGCTGGGTTGGGCGTGTGTGTGTAATGGCCGTGTCTCTGCTCCGCGCAGTGTGCTGTGGCTGGACATGCTGAGTATCTCCGGAGGCCGGCGGCTCTCGGCGTTCGGCTGCCAGAACGGCTGCGTTGGATTGGCTGTGGTCAGTCAGACCGGACCAGGTAGGAGAGCCGGCCCTGACCGTATCCACACAAACGCCTCTGACCGGGTCAGAGCCAGCTCCTGAGATAAGGCCCATGCCACGAGGAACAAAAGGCTGGGGACTCGTAAAGAAGCGCTAAAGCGAGAGTCAGGATAGATTTAACGACTCCTCTGGAGCTCAACCTCAGCATGTAAAGTGTAAACCGTCTCATCAGCAATTTAACCAACACAGAGCCAAAATGCGGAAAAAAATAAGTCCACCCGTACATGGGCAGGATTTTGGGGTTGTGCTGCTTTGTTTAAATGAAGTTTTGTCGGTTTGCTGCTTCAGACAAAAGTGGCCTCTGCCCGTCAGTCTGAAGGGCTTCAACGTTATTTACAAACTATTTATCCACATTTTCACAGAATATGATTATTTTTGTCTTACTATTATTAATAATATCATATAAATATAAGTAAAACATTCAGGACTGCTGTCCGTTGTCTCAACAGTGGACATCCCTGCAAGGTCACCCCAAGGTCAAAAGCTCCAGAGCTACATCTCAGACTCCACTGGCCTCAGTTAGCAGCTTTATGCCACATATTTACTATTTTACACATATCGCCTCCCTCTTTGCTCTCTGTCGGTCACTTTCTGATGCAGTGGTGTTCGGTGCTCAGCAGAAGTGTGTGTGTGTGTGTGTGTGTGTGTGTGTTTTGATCAGAGGTTTTACAGAGCTGGCGGGTCCAGTTCGACAGTCCGATCTCCACGGTGCTGCTGTTCCCCCTCCGCTGCCGCTCCAGCCTGGCCGGCGCCGAGCAAAGTGAGTCTGACCTCTCCCCCCGGTCACCCGCCGCCCGCCTCCACCCGCTCACTTCTTCTTCTCCTCCCTAAGGCGCAGAAGTGGAGGGCTACAACCTGCTGATAACCAGCACCATAGAGATGGCCGTGGTCTACAGGTGGGTGCCAGGCGCTCCGTTTGGGCCCCGGCGCGCGGCAGCTGTGATCCAGATGTGCTGTGGTGTTTGTGCAGAGACGTGCAGGAGCGCGGGCTGTCGCGGTCCACCTGCCTCCCGGAGAGCGATCAGTGGGACGCCGTGCTGTGCGCGCTGGTCATCGACCTGGATTTCGACGGTCAGAAGGAGGTGCTGCTGGGAACGTACGGACAGGTCAGAGAGCTTCTCCCAATCTCTCTCAGCTTTATTTTAAGGCTCTTAGCCCCAATGTGACTTTCTCCCACTTTATTTTCCCAAATAAAGGCTTGGTCTGTCCCTAAAACAGCAGATTACTGCAGTTTTTTAAATCGGTTTTACAGAAGAAAAAGTGCCTTTGTGTGTTTGTGTGTGTGTTTGCACAGGTTGTTCGGACCAAATGTGTGTATATGGTAGTTGTGATGTCAATAAGAGTCCCCAAAAGGAACAACTCTGTGCATGACATGAGGAAATATACACAGAAATAGGTCTAGGATCACAAAGACAAGCCAATAAAGAATACATTAATGTGGATATCTGAAGAAAAACTAAAACAGAAGCTGGCTTAGAGCTCCTGTGACATCCTAACCCTAAGTGGATTAGTTGAAATTATGAAGTAAAATGTAAATACGAAAGAAATGATAAATAAAAAAAGAAAATCTAAAGATGCATTCAGAGCAGGTCTGAGTCCTATGATGCGTAATCACCGTTCTGTGACGCAGGAGCTTCTTTGCTACAAGTTCCAGCCCACCGGCAGTGGGGGGGACGGTCAGTTCCAGCTGCTGTGGAGGCGGAGTTTCAAGAGTCCCCTGTTGTCGGTCATCTACTTGGACTTGACGGGCGACGGTTTGAGGGAGCTGGCGGTCCTCACGCTGAAGGGGCTGCACATCCTACAGGTGCGTTGCTGGACGCAGCTGATGGCTGACCCCTGCTGGCCACCAGCGGGAACTGCAGTACCTGTTTTATTTTTACAGCTTAGCAACAATTTATGTCAGCGAATGGAAAATGATTATAAAACACACTCCACATAACAGCAGAAGTATTGGGACACCCCTCTAAATAACAGAGCTCGGGCACTACAACCCCTCCCATGGCCGCGGGCGTGCAGCCTCACATGTCAGGAGCTCAGTGGTGGCCGGTCAGGCTTCCAGTGGTCCTGTAATAATTCTATATGACTTGATGCTCCACTGTCAGCTGTTAGATGTGTTATACAGCCACGAAGTGAAGGGGACTTAGTGGATGTTGATGCTGCTGACTCAGCCACAGCTCCATGTGGCCCTCACATGGGCTGGGGGACAGAACGGCCCTGGGCTCTGGGCTGACGGGTTTGGGTTGGATGGACAGTTTTTCAGGGCTCCTAGTCCTAATGATGCAGCCTATGGAGACATTTTGGACAAATCCAGGCTCCCAGATTAGTGGAAAGACTTTTGGAAAAATCCTCATTAAAAAGACCTTTTTCCTCAAGAGTTGAGGCGCTCACAGCTGCAAAGGAATTGCCAACTTTATGTTGAACCTACAGGTTAAGAAAGGGGTATCATTAAAGCCCACGCCCACTTAAAGATGGGCGTCCCAATACTTTTGAAACGCACCACCTCTCACTCTGTTTAGCTGTTAAAGCAGCTGTTGTTTGACTCCTCTTCTTTTTTTTCTCAGCATAGCCTCACCTGCACTGCTGACCTGGTTCTGGAGCGGCTCGCCCGCAGGGTGTCGGCGCTGACAGCCGCCGCCGAGCCGCCACCTCCGCCGGCCACACACGCAGAGGGCCAGAGCCAGAGCCAGGGGGGCAGCACACAGACGCCGTCGTGTTAACGGAGACGCTGCCGCTCTGCTGGCCCCCTCCGGCCCGGGTGGCTCAGACGGGAGGGTTCTCCTCCATGTGAAGGATTATCTCAGGATAAAGAGTGTCCCCGCCCGGGCGTGCTCTCCGCTGACAGCAGCGATTAGAAAGTCAGGCATCACGCTGACCTTTCAGCACATGACAGACCAACACGGCCCACTCCCACGCAGGTAACTGCCACGCAGACGTCCGAGGATGTGGACGCAGAGACGCTGGACACGTGAAGTCTTCTCATGAAAATAAACGCACTCGTTTGGAGGGATGAATGTTTGCTGCTTCTGCTTTTTTCTGCCTGTATTTTAGTGTCACCTGAGCGAGACATCTGCTGAATCAGCGCCTGTCTCTCAGCTGTCACAACTTGCTCCCATTTATAGGATTTTTCTGTATAAACAGAAGAAATAGAAACAACTGGCTGAAGAAAATGACTCTGCAAGAATAAATGAGCGTTTAATGCCATTGCTGTGGTTTTAAAGGAGCCAACTCGGTCACTTCTGGAATGTAATGTTCTGAGTTGAGATAATATTATTAACTTCATTAATATATTTTGGAAAAATTGGCATAAATATTACCGAGACAACTCTTTTTACTATAAATGAAGTAGAAACGCAGTTGGTTAGTCAATAGATATAGAGATTTTGTTTGTCTCTCTTAAGGACATCCCTTTCATTTCACAGCTAAAAGCTCTTTGGGATTCGGCTTGTTGCTCATGTTCAATTGTTAGTTGTTATTTAAGCTGTGAAATGAAAACATAAGTAGCTATTCAAAATAATTGGCTCCTCATGGTTGTATGTTATGTGTAGGCACAACACAGGTTCACCCCTTGAGTTAGGTGACAAAAAAAAGTTATAAAATTGAGAGGATTAGCAGCCAAAACTTTAAGGCCAAAACAGGCAAAAAAACAGCAACTTTAAGGCCACTTTCAAATATCAAAAGGAGTTCTGCCTTTTTGGTTGACACGTTTGAACGTCAGGCACTCTCACAATGACTAAATGTTTTTTTTTAGAAACTTCTAAAGAGGAAGGATTCCCTCCGGCTCGGCCTCAGACCGCGGTGGCCCGGAGTTGGCTGTCTGAGCGGGCCGGGGCTCTGCTGGTCAGGGCGTTTGGCCGGTCAGTGGCACTGTGGTCCTCTGCGGAGCCCCAAACTGTGAGCTTCTGCTTTCCCGCACTACAAAGGCGACAATAAGAACAGCTGCGCGCATCGCGTTGGACTTATCCGAGAAAGATGGCGTGAAGACAAGTTAAGAAAGCCCAGTTTTTTTTCAGCGTGGTGCTCCTCCGAATGCGCTGGGAAAGGTCTGCTGCCTGATTTTGAGGCGCGGGGCTGTTGTGCGCGTCAACAATACGGAGCATGCCGCTGGAGGGACGCGCGGGGGGAGACCTGAGCGGACGCCTCTCACTCACTGGATGTTCTTTGCGCTCAGCCCCGTGACAGAGAGGCCAGAGCAGACCCGCGCCTTACGCTGTCTTACATTTCGACCCCTTCCGAGAGCGTTTCGAGACCCCCTCCAAAAAAACTCGCGCTACGCGTTTTCGGGCTATGTGTTGGTGAGCAGCTCTGCGTGTGGTGTCAGTGTGCGTGTGAGCGCGCGCGTGCGCGTGTTGGGAAACGGCGCAAATTTGATGTCCAGCTTCGGGGAAAACATGATGATGGCCGGCGCAGGACCGGCCGTGGACCTGAACGGGATGTACCCCGGCCCCAGCCCCGGCGGCCTGCCGCAGCCCCCCATGGAGACCGACAACCCGGACTCCCGCAAGCGGCCGCTGGAAACTCCGGCCGAGGAGGGCGGCTGTACCAAACGCACCAACACTGGAGGTAAGGCACAGATCGGACCGTCCATCCTCGTGAAGCCAAAGCCGGGCTGCTCGTGCAGCGGACGCGCGCCCCGCTCGAACCGGCTGCGCGTTCAGATTTCCCGGAGCAGAGCAGGTTCAGACCGGTGCTGGCTATCACATGCAGCACCTGTGCACTTGGGAGGACTCTTGTGTTTGTGTGTCCCCGCAGGGAGGGCAGCTGGGCTGCCTGAACGGCCTTCTCTGCTCAGTTTGGGATTTGAACCCAATTGGCCTTCTGCTCTGCTCCACATGTGCAGTGAAGGTATGCTGTGAGGAGGAGAGCCCTGTGATTTATCTCGACGCTTAATGCCGCACCATGATGTTAATCTGGGTTTCGCCCTTCTGCAGACTTGGAAAGGGGTTTGCCACATCTTTCCTTGTTCGTGGGTCAAAGACAAATCTGCGTTTTGCTCTCTCGGTGAATAAAAGCGTGTTTTGACCGAGTGACGACAGATCATTTATAGCTGTCTCTAACCCAGCCATTAACCTCGTGGCAAGGCCTGTGACTCCTGCATCCTGCTGGAGCTGTGGACCGGCTGCTCCTGCAGCAGTCACTCACCGGTAAAACCCAGCTTTGCACAAATAAATTCCCCTCTGAACCCGTAAGCCATTATTTGGAATACATTTCCCGTATTTCTGGCAGGAGGGATGAGAAATAGCACTGCTCTTATATCACCTCAGAGAGAGAACTGAGTGGTGGAGACTATTGCAGGTTGCTTTAAATGCACCCCTTAAAGCCAGCTACCTGGTAGAGACAACAGGTGAAAAGCATATAGAGCCTTTGGGCTCGCGCTCATCACCGCTCACAGCGCGGATCCTTATCTAACCGGTCTATGGCAGGTGGCCCTGTGAGCCAAATCTCAGGATTGCTTTTTTTCTGTGTGCCTGTTTCCCTCCAGCTTTGAGTATCTGACATTGTTTGGATCCCGAGACGGCAAAGGGCTCATGAAAAGTGCACGAGAGCTCAACAGAATAGCCGTGTATGCGTTTTGGGGCGGAATGAGAGACGGCATGGAGCTCCGAGCACGCTCGTTTGTTTTTAGGCCTCATAACAGAACGGAAACAGGGAAGAGAGCGCCATCTACCACAGGCGGACTACAGAAAGCCCACAGTGCCGCTGCGTATGCTGATGCTGTGTGATTTATCAGTAAGATGTCAGGGAGCAGTGGACGCGGCCGGCTCCAGATAACCGCACGTCTCATTTCAGCTCGTGAACGTTCTGCTCTGCAGCCCACGGGGAAAAGTCATTCAGCAACTTAATGTTAGTTAAACGTCTGCTGTGAATAGGCAGTTCCTCCACCATATGTTTCTGAAATTTCTGTCTCCCTCACCCCCCCCTCGCTCTCAGTGACAGGACCATTACATCCTATTTCTGACAGCATGAGCACATCTCGGCTGCACCTCACTGCGCCTCAGGAATGAATTTTCAGTAAGACGCAGAGGGAACCTCGTACCACCACACAGCATTTCAGAACAAGCCCCACATGTCCCCTATTAACACCTCTAAACCCGCCGTAGAGCAGGCCGATCACACGGTGCTACTGGAGAGCGCTCCCCATTTTTTTGCCTCACAAACGCATCACCAGGACTTTCGCATCCAATCTCCAGGTGATATGAACGTCAGATGGTGTGAGATTACATTTTGAATATCTTCATAAGTCATAGAAAAAAAGGCTAATTCACACAGACATTTCTGCCTCCGTCGTGCTGTTGTTTCTGCGATGGCTCTCAGCTTGAATCCTCGCCTCAGCTCGACTGCGCGTTCACAACCTGCGGCTGTAAACGAACTGGCTGCTGTTGTCGGACTGATCCCAGAGAGAGGGCCTCTTGTTTTTAGCGTTTTCAGCAGATTGCTTCACAAATGAGCAAAATCATGAGGAGATTAAAGCACCTATAGGCAGCAGCCCCCCCCCGACACAGAGAGACGCTAACAGATGCTCCCTGGATGGTTTCACTCTCCATCTAAAGGCAGTGATACACATTCACACCCACGACTGGATAAAAAGTGTCCATCAGCTCAACTTGTCTCAGCCGAAGTAATAACGAGCAACACTGTTTTCTCCAAAATCTGCTCATGGGTCTGACATTCAAATTACAGCTATAATCACATTAAGTTTCACTTAAAACACCTATAAGCACGCCTGCATGCTAACTAAAGTTATCTCTAAGAATTTGGGGGCAATCTCTGCAGTGTCGGCATTGACTTTGCGTCTTAATGGAGGTCAGACTTGTTTTGTACTCACTGTTTGATTTGAAACGTTAATCGGACCCTTCCCACCGGAACGGGAGCAGTTTTTTCTTGGAGTTCTATCTGTTCGTAAAATGCTGTGAGGATTCATAGAAGTGGTTCTGAGGTCAATAGAACGTCCATCTGTTTTCTGCACATGCTTAATCCAAAGTGAGAGTCACATAGGGTCAATTCTCTCCAGTAAAATTGGCCGAAATAATAACACTAAAATTAAATCGAAAAAAAAAGCTTTTAGTCAGGGAATGAAGGGGTTTTTGATCCCATTGCTTCAAACTCGTGTGCCTATGTATTTGCAGCCTGAGGGAAACAACTTAGTATTTTACCACCTTTTTAACTGCGTAGAATCCCCAGTTCCAATATATTAAAACGAGGCAATAGATTTTAAATATGTTCAAACCGATAAAGTAAAACACTTATAGATTTTTTTTTTTCTGTCCACATTATAAAAAACCAAATTCCTCAGAAATAAAAGACGACAACGGTTCTTTTTAATGACTGCCCCCACGTTGGCATCAGCTTTCATATTATTCTTACATTGTTCCAGTATCTTGATAACGGCGCCTCACACAGACAAGTGAGTCAAACCATGCACAGTCACACTCACACTCACTGCAAGGGTTCATTTGGAGTCACCAATTAAGCTAATATGTGTGTTTTTCACACAGAACCCACACAGGGAACCAACACAGTAAGCTTTGCGCAACATTTTAGTCTTTGTCAACTCTTCCTAATTCAAAGTCGATGCATTAACCCAACACATTAGCTAAGTGGCTGCACAGCTGCATGTATTCTGTAAAAAGGAATGGAATTATGATTCTTTCTGACCCCCAACCAAGTGACATTATTTACGAAAGCCAACCATGAAAGGACAAAGTTTCTAAGTAGTGTGCTGCGCTGATGTGTAACCAAGGCAACCAGAAAAATGGCAGCCACAATGCAGGTGGGGGTGGGGTGGGAATGGCTGTTTCACAGAAAGAATGCGAACCCGTTTCTAACCCTGAAGAAGTGCTGTTGTTGGCCAAATCTAACCATGACGAGACGGGTGGGTTTCAGGAAAGTGTCGGTGTGTTTCTGGCCCGCAGTGTCTAAGGAGCAACGGCCGGCATATGTCGGCTTGATCTGGTCTGGTGTGTGGGTGCACAGTGATCTGCGGTCCTGCAGCTCCTCCAACATGGATGCTCCTCTGTAAGCCTTTACGGGGAAAAAAACACCAGCCGATGCTCCACGACA